TTGAAGGCTTCTCTATTTATAGGGCTAAGAGGGAGGAACAACATAATGAAATCCAACACCACCATTCCTCTTTTAATACAACCCATAACTCACACTTCATCTTGTCTATGTTAGTGTGGTTGGAATCAATCTCATCCCATACTTCTTTTGCTGCACCTCAAGCTTTATTCACATGGGATCAAAGATGATCAATTGTGGCTGCCTTTTGCTGCCAACCCATGTGGTCTTCTTTTGGTTGTTGAACAAAAACGAGTCTTCTGAACCAGACTTGGTGTAGGAAGGCCAGAGGTTTCAAAACTTATCCAATGGGGCTCAAATTTGGATATGTTATAGTAGACACAAACTTGTTGCTTCGATTCAGCTGCACCAAAATAGATTCAGCTGCATCCTCAACTTGTGATACTCGCAAGTGCACGAGCCGTTGTTGACCTACGAAACTGGGCTGGAAATGGGCTGTAGCCAAAATTAGTTTGTCTTTAAGCTCATATTCCTCATATGCCAATCAGCCCTTAACATGCATGGATTGCAACAAATGTTATCTCTTGCTATCTTAACCTACAAAACACACAAACAGAAGTAAGTGACTCAAAATAAAGAGAAACTAAGCAAAATCACTAAGTAAAGAAGGCATGCAAGTGTATGAAATTATGGACTTATCAAAACAGAAAATGGATTAAAAGCACAAGTTTAACTCAATAACATAACCAAATCATAAGCTAGAAGGGTACAAAATGATATACAATTATGAACCGATCAGACGACATGGTTGATATTTCCTCCTTTTAGAATAGACATGGGTGCATACGAGAAATTATATAATAGTATGGTAGTAGGATTACATGGTATAGCATGTACACGCATTATAATATGAGGGGGGTGACATGGTTGATATTTCCTCCTTTTATAGAATAGTGTCAATAAATAGCCACTTATATTATAACATATGGACAAATTAAACCACGTGACCATACTATTGTACTACAACACCACTATAATTACTTGGTGTATACATACATGTCATGTGATGAGTGCTATATAGATATGAGAGCATTTTTACTCACCACATTAACCTAAGGTGTACCCTCACCATCCTTCTCAATATTTGACATGTGTCCATGAGCATAACCATGGCCTCATAAATACAAAGTAAAAAGCTAACTATGGTTAGGCCCATAAACACATGTCAAGTGTTGAGAATGATGGTGATGGTGATGGTAAACATTGGGTTAAAGTGGTTGTGGGGATCTTTTTTGTTCCAGCAGCTCTAGGTGAACTTGGGCCACTATAAAGAGAGAGTGACGTTGCCCTTTTGCCTGGGTTCAAGAACTAGGCCCCAAAATACCCCGAAAGAATGCTAATTCTTAGGGAATACTCTGGTTTCTTCTCATCAAGCTGATAATGATTGTTGTGAACTGAAATTTTGGCTTGGCTTGGCTTGAGTGGCTTGTGGCATGGGAGCTAAGTTTCCATGAGTTTAGCAACAACGTCTACCTGACTTGAAACAATGTTTTGGATAAAGGCTATTTTAGAGCTTGGAATGGCTTCTGGTTTCTAGAAAAAAGGTAGAGGATGGCTTCTGGAAAAATGAGAGGATGGTTACTGCGAGAAGAAGATGATGGTTTCTAGGAAAAAAAAAAAGAAAAAAAAAAAGAAAGAAGAAGATGGTTTTTGAGGTTAGACTTGAGTGTTTCCAACAATGAGATTATAGCTTGCTCTATTGGTGTCATTCTTTGTTCATTCCCCTTCTTCCCTTTTGGGTGCTTCCTTTTATAGCCACTGAAGCTCAAGCGGGTGATGAATGAGCGGCTCAAGTTGGTGACACAGTAAGTATGACTGAGGCTTTAGTGCGGGGCAGTTGGGGGATGGGTAGTAGTCGCTGAAGCAAGATTGGCAGTTGTTCTGGTGCTGTAAGGTAGAAAATTGGAGATCGGCTAATAAAGGCTGGAAGATGACATGCTCTCTGCTTATCCACTCAATAGGCTCAATAGACATGGGCTTGGGCTTGGGCTTTGGTGCTCCCAAGCAGCCCAAAAACCTCCATTTCCCAAAAACCTCCATTTCTTAAACCTTTGATGGGCCTCATCGATCCTTGTAACCATCCACACCACAACCCTCTTAGCAAGCCTCATGCTTGTATGTGGCTTGGGCCCACTTAAGCTTGTCGGGTGGTTTAGCATAGGAAAATGCATTATTTGCTTGGCATGGCATGTATATTATTTATATATTTATTTACGGCTAAAAGTCACTTTTGGTCCCTGTAGTTTGTCACTTCAACCACTTTTGACTCTGTAGTGTCAATTCCGTCAATTTTGACCATGTAGTTTTGTATTTGTAGTAATTCAAGGACAAGTTAGTATTCTTGTCAATTTCTTTGACGGTGCAAGAGGCAATTTTGTCAACCCAAAATCTTTGAGCATAAAAGCTCATCTGAAACTCCCCTCATTTCATATTAAGGCTTGAAATTGGTCATTTGGGTTTAGGGTTCTTCAAAAAATTGGGATTAGTGGTTTAATTTCGAGCCCTAATATGAAATGGGGAGAATTTCAGACAAGCTTTTACGCTCAAGGATTTTGGGTTGACGAAATTGCCCATTGCATCGTGAAAGAAACTGACAAGAATACTAACATGTCCTTGAATTGCTATAAATACGAAACTATAATGGCAAAATTGACGGAATTGAAACTATAGGGTCAAAAGTAATTGAAGTGCCAGACTACAGGGACCAAAAATGACTTTTGGCCTTTATTTAATTGATAAATTCCTAAAATACAGCTTGGTTTAACGCATGACCAACATTATATGTTATATTGGGCTTTAAACATTCTTGGACTTCTTGTGACATTTTGGGCAGTGGTGAGCAAAAAATATGGAACCATAGAGATATGGGTGCATACAACCAATTACAATGCGGATTCTCTCCACTTAATGAGGTTTAATTTAACCATATAAGTTAGATTCCAAAATTTTGGATATTCTTTTTCTTTTGAGAAACAGTTCTTGTGGGGTTTGGTTTTATGGTTGTAGATGACCACACCATACCCAAAAAGCAAAAACCACCATCAATATTCAATGTCATAGAACTTCTCATACTGCTCGCATAAAGGAGGAAAAACTCACAGAAATGTAAATAAATAGATTAATAAAACGAACAAGTTAGGAAAAACAAAATGTTCAGATTGTTGCACAGAAAATTCCACTTAGGTTCTTTTCAAAAACATGCGTTTAGGGAGAAGCTCCAAAGATACTTCTTCCACATAAGTATAAACCCTCTGTTAATAGCACAACATGAACACAATCAGGATAAATTTTTGTATGTGCCCAGCGGGATCACATGGAACGCATTATACAAAGATGGGCCTGGCACATGTTTTCTTTATCTGTGAATATTCGACACAACGTGCCCGTCGCATACAGACGCCTAGTCTGCCAATATCTGATCCATGCAGAATCAGGCTGCCATGACCTCAATTTGTTAAATGAAAGGGTATAAAAAGTACACCAAGTTCACATTTCTCCTATAACTGACTTCTATATAGTCCGCCACACGCCCTACAATTTCAAGTTTTCTGCTCTACAAATGTATCACTTCATTTTCAAGGCTGATGAAAAGAGTTCCCTCCTTGTTCATGTTGGTTACCAACTGGTTGGCTAACAACTGGAATATCCAAGCTACTTGCTTCTGACTCGGGGGCAATTTCTCTTACATCAGCTATCCTTGCATCTTGAGCCTGAATGTCACTCCATTCACCATCTCCAACTGGCCGGTGGTTGACCTGATCCCCAGCCATGTGAACTACACTCTCCCCTGGTACTGGGACTGTTCTAGAAACACTGAGGCATGCTTTATCAACATTTTCTTCAGACAAGTCTACATGTTTAGTCAGGGGTGTATTGCCAGACTCGGACTTCTCCTCGAACACTTGCTTCGTATCAATGTGATGTCTGTCAACATGAAATGGTTGATTAATCAAATATTGATGATAACTCAATAAGGGACTAAAGGATTCGATGCATAGTAATCCCCAAGCCACTTATATATTGGGTAAAAGGCAGAAGGTACTAAACCTTTGAAGCTGTGCTTGCAACTTATTCACATAGACCAGGAGCTCTTGCTTGTCCTTCAGCGCAGCTGATTCTTTCTGCACAGCCTCCTTTATTCTAGCTTCAGCATCCGCCTCTGCAACCCTAACCTTCTCCTCTGCTCTCACGACAGCTGCTTCTAATATCACAACACGCTCTCTAGCTTTTGCAAGCTCAGAACGCCACATGTGTGCCTCCTGAAGAGCAGAATCTCTCTGCCTGATCAATTGGTCTCTTTCTTTGCTTAAGGCCATAGCCTTTTCTTCAGAATCTTTTAGCTACAAATATAAACAAAAGCCACCAAAAAATTTGAACAATCTAAAGTGCTCTCAGAACAAAAAAAATAATTTTTTTTTTCTTTTTCCAAATTAATAATTTATGGTAGTGGAGGGGGGAAGGAGATCACTTATCCAAAGACACTACAAAATTAAAATAGAAGAGCTTATCAATACCTTTAACATGGAAGATTCCAGCTGCTTCTCTGAATCTTTTTTTAAGCGCTCAATTTCTGCACAAACAATTCTCCTTTGTTCATCAATTGTATGAGCTGCAGAGGCTGCAGCCTCAGCAGCTTCAGCAGTCTCGGTTAATTTTTCTGCTATTTCTTTAATTGTTGAATCGCGTGCACGAAGGTCCCTAGCCAAATTTTGTAGTTCGTCATCTTTGACCCGTAATGTCTCCTACAGAACAGAGATACACAATCAGAAAACAAAGTCTAAGTGAACTAAATGATCACAAAGAGCAATTGGATTTGAAGGACTGCAGAGGAGTCAACATTCCTCATGTTTACTTCTCACAAGTTTGGAAGAAATTCAATGATGTAGCATGTTTCTATCTCTGTTGTGCACAAATGAATGTTTTAAACACTATAGGGTGTCAATTACCTTCTAAAACTGTTTCTCATGACACAGAACTGATAAAGTACAATTGAAACCAGGGCCCTTTCATTAACAAACTATACTGTAAAAGCCATTTCAAAATGAATGTAGGGCAGTGTAAATAACCAGATCATAAGCAGTACCTTCATAATTGCAAAATCATCCATTGGACCATCAGTTGGCTTATTCGTTATCACTCCCAAAGCATTTCTCAAAGAAATATGCATTGCTGCTTCAATATCCTTAGAACTCTCCAAAGCAGTCGAATTGGCAGCAGCAACTACTGCTGCAACCGTTCCCAGTTTCGCAGAACCATTGCCACTCAAGGAATTCACAGCTTCTTTATGGGCCTTTAAAACCAATTGTGTTGCTCTGATCGTCAGAGGACAAAAAAACGAAAAAAGAGCAAAAGACAAGATTAGATGAAACATGTAGTAATGGAAACTGCTAATCTGGTCTTTATGGAAATGATTCGTCAAATACCACATGGGAAATAAAGGAAAGGTGGAATTTTTGTCAGATAAGCATTGCCTCTTTCACTAAGACAACAGAAAATTAAGTCTTTTTGTCTTGAAAATGCACCCTATTCCAATTCATCCCCAATGGACCACAGGCTTCTATTGACATCATACAAAAAATTTACATCAACCATATGACGCATGAATAATATCTTTGACTGAAGTAACATAACAAACTAAGAGTCCTTTTTCCCCTGATAAGTCACATTTTAAGAGAAGTAACTTGCTAATATATTGAAGATGAGGAAATTTTTGGATAAGCCATTACATTTGAGGCCTGTAAACTACAAGAGAACTTCACAATGCCCAACTATACGCAATGGGCGGTCTAAAAGAGAACTCAAACTACATTGGGAAAGTTCAAATTAAATATTAAGAATAGGAAAACAAATTCTAAAACCCTTGTTTTTTCCTCAACCCACAGCGATAATCTCCATTACATATGTTAACTAATTTCTCATTTGAATCAGCAGCATATAACTCTGCCCTAGAGGTTATAAAGTATTTATAACATGCACATAAAGACGAAACTGTACGATATATAATAACATCTACATAATCACTACAGCATACTGTAAAGGGAAAGGACTTACTGTAGTGTTGATACCCATGCTCTAGCTGCACCAGGAGTCTCTGCACAAAGGAAGTAGTCTTTTTTCTGTGGGGTCCCAATATCTAAAGAATGAAGTTAAGAAGCATGCAAGTTCAGAAATTTCGATCCAGATTTACAAGAATGTTTTCTATAGAAGTTAAAAGATATGCCTCATTTTGTTTTCTACATTACGAAAATACTAGAGAAAATAAATGAGGATACAGAAACAGCAGCCATCATACTTTTGCATCCCACTGAAAACACAAAACAGAAAAAGAAATCATGTAACCCATCATGGAAATTACAACCTGCACAGATGACTGTTATATAAAACGGATATTATGCAAAAATGAATCTTACTGGAAGTTCACTGGAGAAAGGGTGATTGTGCTATTTGCATCAAAGAGAATGGTTCCCTTGACAGTCGGCTCATTTCTCCTAATCCTAAATCATAAAAAAGTATGGTGTTGGTCAATGCATCTATAAGGCATAAATTGAAGTAAGGATGTCTTGCACAACTAACTTGTATTCCATTCTCCCTGTTGTCGGGTCTAAGATCACCCACCGCTCGTTCCATTTTCTCAGCTGTTAAAAGAAAACAGCAGTTCAATAATTTCCAGAACAAAGAGCACTACAAAGAAAAACTCGCCAAACCATCCCAGTGTCCAATTTACATTTAGAACTTTTTCAAGCATGATTTATATAGACTTCAGTTTTGAAATGACTGAACTTCAATAATATCAACGGGAGCTTATTAAATGTTACTTATCATTTTTCTAATTCGCATTATAAGCGGTCCAATGAAAAGCCAACAGAATCTGAATTCGGAATTGACCCAACAAAAAAATAAAGAACTTTCGCAAGAACCAAAATCTAATCCTAAAAATATACTATGAAACCACAAAAAAAGAAGGTAAAAGAAAGACAAATGGGAGGCTATGGGATCGTACCGTCTCGGATCGCTTGAGAAGTGGGCCCTGCAACAAGTTACGGCCAGAACCCGAAGCCAGATGACGCTTGATCTTCTCCAAGCTATTCTCTGCGTTCGCAGCTCTCTGCTCACCATTGGTGGCCATAGTATTGGTAGATCGAGAGGATCGAAAGCCTGAAACTTCTGGTAAATTAGAGGCCCTTTTGGTTATCGGTGAGGTTGAAGAAGGCTGTTAGGTTTGTTTCATTTCATGGACTAGCAGGTGAAGATCATGTTGCTTTCTAAGCTTCTAACACGCATTAAACAAAAAATAAAAAAGGAAGAAAAAGTGAGAATTTTTCCCTTTTATTGACTCTTTTCCTGTGAGCTAGCTACTTGTTTCTTGAGTTTTTTTGGCTTAGAAATACTGTTCTGGCTTACAAGCGAGATGGGTCCCGCTAAGCTTGGTGCGATTTTAGATTTGTCTTTTCATTACCAAAAATAAATAAATAAAAACCTTATATAGGTGATGGAATGTAGATGGTTGAGTTCTTTTACCTTTATCTACGGTCATAGATTTGAAATTCATAGGCACCCGTAAATATTTGTGTTTTAATTGCTTTCAAATGTTTTATCAAAAATATATAAAAAGATTTAAGTTGCTTTTAATTTATTTTTTATTTATGAATTTTAAGTTTTAAAAATATTAAAAATATATTATATTATATTTAAAACCACGTGGCTCTATACCATTTGATATGTGGGCTTCACATATGTGCCACATTAGCAATTTAACAAAAAAATTGACGGAAACTGACAACAGGGATCATTTTGATGTGTGAAGAGTAATCTTAAGGACCATTATTGTCACAAAAAATAGTTAGAGATGAAATGTGATAATTTCGCAAATCTCATGGACCATTTGTAATAAAAAGCCTAAAATGAAAATAGATAAGCAAGTTTTGAAGTACGTAATGTGATCACATTATCACAACAACAAAAAACAAACTAGCATTTAATTTAGTGACGTATTTTTTTCTCAATATTGGAAGGGATTCAAGTTGATAGTTCGTCCCTTGATCAAATAAAAATATATTTATATTATTTTGACCTTTTATGTTCCTCATCATTTGGCCCGCGGGCTCATGGGCCGATGGGGGCCCGCCCGACCCATTGAAAAAAAGCCCGACCCTGCCCGTTATGGGCTTTGAGATGGCTCGGCCCATCTTGGGCTGGGCTAGACTTGGGCTTGAGTGTTTGAAGCCCGGCCCGATTCATAGGCCCCGCCCAATTAGGCCCAAGAAAGCTCGGCCCGGCCCGGCCCGTTAGGTCCGCATACATATATAATTATGTATAAATAAGAGTTTAGGATTATGATTATATCACTTAAATCACATATATAATTTGTTTCATTTCATTTACTTTTCTTTACTCATTCCTAGTTTATAATTGGATGATTAGCACATTAATTTAATTTGTGTCAATTATTAATACAACAATTATATATATATAAGATGAACAACATATCATATCACCAAATATAATCATATCACAAAACATAATCGTACTACCAAATATAATCATGCTTTTCTTGAACACATCACCAAGCATTTGCATATTTATTCATACCATCCTTTAAAAAAAATATTTTTTTTATACTTATTATTTTTTTAAATTATTTCTTAAAGCATATTACGGTCTAACTATGTAATAACCTCAAAAATAATACTTGGTTTTATTATTTTTGTAGAAAATCTTATTAAGTTGTGTGACTTTATTAGGTGTTTTATGAATTTGGTTTGATGTGAAAATATTGGAATTAAGTGAGTTTAATCTCAAATTTGGACTAAAATGCCCTTATGATTAAGTTTATGATTTTTTTCGATTGAAGTAGGCCCGTTTTGGCCCGGCCCGACCCGATGGGCTTTCTCAAGCCCGGCCCATGGGTCGGGCTTGAGCTTTAAATTTTCTAAAAAAATCCGGCCCGGCTCGGCCCGGTATTTTCTCTCTTCTTTTTAAAGCCCGGCCCAGCCTGACCCAAGCCCATTAAATTTGGGCCGGGCTAGCCTGACCCGGCCCATTGACGAGCCCTAGTACACATGTGCAAAATTATAATTTAAGTTTGACACATGTGCAAAAATAATTTATTAAAAATATAAGAAGAAAAACTTTCTACTCACATGTTCTGGCATGTAGGAGTTTCTACTTATAGGGGAGGAGGAAATATTTTGTTGTTGGAAATATGTTTGCTCACTACTTTAACCCAATATATCTCAACACATTTCTCAGCATTTGACATGTGTTTATAGACATAACCATAGATGTAGATCCATAGTTAACTCTTTGCTTTGTATTATGAAATTATGATTATGTCCATGAACACATTAAAATGGTGAGAAAAAATGCTCTCATTTTCCTTTAACTTCTTTCCATTTTGACACATAAATAAATATATAAAAATTTGACCAAATCACACAAATCAATAAACAGATAAAAATGGTTCTCTTCCTCCAAGAGAAGAGAGCAGAAAAAGAAAACCAAAACTTCCCGGTTCTTTTTTAAAATACCAATTTTCGTCTCCAAAACCCCCTGCAAAACCTCAATCCCTAGAAACACTCACTTCCACTCTGAGCTAAGAGCTCTGGCTACGATCCTCAATCCACAACCAGAAGAGTAGAAGACAGAGTGAGAGTGAAACTGTGAGAGGCGCGTCATTTCGAATGGCCGGGATTGTGAAACCGCCGGGGGCTTTCGCAGTGACGCCACACAAAGTCTCAGTCTGCATACTGCTTCAGGTCTACGCGCCGCCCGCTCAAATCTCAGTCCCCTTCCCTTTCTCCACCGTCAATCAGCACAACCGCCTCGGCCTCTTCCTGTTGTCTCTCACTAAGGTACTTTCAAGTTTGCCCTCTTCTCCCTAATTAAAGCTTCAATCTTTGGACAACCCATGTAATTTAGTGGCTATTTGCTTTTGGCAGTCTTATGATGATATTTTTGAGCCCAAATTGGATGAGCTTATACATCAATTGAGGGGGATTGGGGGCTTATTGAACTATTGGTTAACCGACCATTTAACCAGTAAGCTGTTGGCTCTGTCTTCGCCGGATGATTTGTTTAACTTCTTTAGTGATATGCGAGGTCAGTTCATCTTAAATTACCCTTTTTTTTTTTTTGCTGATGTGGTGTTGTACTTGCTTGCTGATACTCATTTAGTTTCGATATTTTTCTTTAGGAATCCTTGGCGGCCCCGAAGCAGGTGTTCTGGAAGATGACCAAGTCATTTTGGATCCAAATAGCCACCTGGGGATGTTTCTTCGTCGTTGCATACTTGCGTTTAATCTTTTATCCTTTGAGGTATTGTTCGTTTTTTTTTTCTTTCTAAAAATCCATTCCATTTGTTTTTCAGTTCCATCTATATTCCATGGGGAAATGAGTGTTGTGTTGTGTTTGTTCTTGTTAGTTTTTATGGTAATGAAAGCTTTTACAGAGAACTAGTGTTTCATATAATTTTAATATTAATGCAGGGTGCATGCCATCTTTTGACAAGTATAGGGACGTACTGTAAAGAAGCTATCTCAAGTTGTCCTCCGTATGAGGCACCTCACTTAGATGATTCTAGTAATGATTTAGAAACACCTCCGGAATATGAAAACATGGAACTGGAGAATCTTGTTTTCGAGAAAGTCACTGAAGAAATCGAAGCAAGGGAAAGAGCGGGTGGAAGAGTTTCTTTTCATCTTCATGCACCCCAAGCACTTGTTGGATTGGTTGAAGGTATACAAAGCATCATTCTCGTGAAGCATGTAGAGATGCTATGACATTATAGAGGTCTTTGTGCTTGACAACAATGGTCCTCAAAACCTACTGCATAAAGTTATTTCTGAATCAAATAGGACACTACTGATATGGGACAGAGTTATGAATAGTTGAAGCCGCTTGATATCTTCATTGAAACTTGTGAAGTTTGTCAATAGTATTACTTAAACTCTAGATCAGTCAACATTCCTTACTAAAATCTAACACAATCTTGATTTCATTGTTACTGGCATTTTGGAGTCAACAAATAAGTTCAAAAGCCATCTGGAGCACTTTAAATTCAGACAACATCATGATCATCATATTTATATCAATTATTTCTTTTACCCTATCTGATTCAAATGTCCAAATATCCGTGGTTTTGAAACAAAACCTGCATGCGAGGGATAAAGACAAAGAATTTCATTTGTTATGCTCACTACTTTTGTATTTCTTAATTGATGGGTTTGCTCTAAAATATTGTGTGTTCAAATTTCAGTGCGATGTCAATCATAATCATGCATAATATAAACTAAACATGCAGATATTGATGTCCCCTGTGACCTAGAATTCAAACATGGCGGCAAACTTAGAGAAGCTTGTCATTATGCACATCCTACAAGCAATACATTAAGAGATCCTGATCCCAGTGGTGGCATATTCCTACGAACTAACTGGCAGATACAAGGATTTCTACAGGAGCAAGCTGATGCACTTGAGAAGTAAGTGATGCATGTATCTGTGAAAATTTTTGTTTTCCTATTTGTTTTATGTTCATTAGGTTGTACTGAATCTTAATTAATATTTGTTTGGAAGACAGGGGAGCTCTTTCTCTTTAAATGATTTTGAACTTATGCTAAGGCAGCTTCAAAAACTGGCACCCGAGCTACATCGCGTTAGTAACTCGCATGAATTTTTTTCCTGTTTGGTAATTTGTTTGTACTTGCACTTAGAGTATGTTTCTTTTATCATTTTTGCTGAATTTTGATGCAGGTTCACTTCTTGCGTTACTTGAATGGTTTGTATCATGATGATTGTATTGCTGCTTTGGAGAATGTTCACCGCTATTTTGATTACAGGTATGTCAGAACTTAGCTCTGTATCTAGTTTGATAATTACTTGATCAAGTGCTGTTGCAGATGTTTCTTTCATTTGGTAACCTAATACATTGAATGTAAATTGGAAATGGTGAGCCATTGCTGTTCTTGGTGATGCTCCTATTAAAGGAGATAATTGTTATGACTGGATCTATCACTTATCTTCATGGCTTTTCATGCATGTCCAATGGCATGCTCCTAGTCTTGGTTGTCTCAATGAAAGTTAAGTTTGACATTATTTGTTGGCTTAGGTTAAGCCTTTAAATGATGGCTTTCAAGCTGCAACTTTATGTTAGTTGGTCACTGTTTATGTCCACCATTTGGTCTCTTTTAAATGTATTAAAAACAAATGAACTAATCCAATAAACGTTGGCACAAAAGTGCAGGGATTGAAGGATTTGATTTTGTTCCTCCTGCATCTGGTTGCAATACCTTTGGAAGATATGAAATTGCCTTGCTTTGTTTGGGAATGATGCATTTCCATTTTGGGCACCCGAAACAAGCTTTGGAGGTGAGCACAAGGAGGGGGCCTAAAG